GGAAGCCGGAGAACCCGGAGAGAACCCACGCTGCACGGGGAGAACATGGAGACTCCACGCAGGAAGATCCCGGGTGTCCTCACCGGGACGCCAACCGGCGACCTTCTAGCTGTGAGGCGACGGTGCTAACCACTGATCCACCTGCATCTGCAACATGTACGAGCATAACCGCCGTGAGTCAGGATGACGTCTGACGTCATCAACAGCGAAACCTTTGTTGTGTTTCTGACTCCACTGGTTTTGTGATTTCTCAATGAGGAGCAGAAACGAACAAACACGAGTCAGCAGCAGGACGGTGATGGTTCAGGAGGATCATCCTGGTGACGATGAGTTCTCCCAGAGTCAGAGCCAGCAGCCTCCGAACCCGGACAAGGCACATCTACATAACAGGACTTCTGGGAGGAACTTCACGCTCCTGTCAGACCCGCTTCGTTAACGGGTCGGCTGCAGGTGTAAACATCCTGCTGCTCATCGGTCGACGGTTAAACCTCGAACCGTTTCCACGTCACTTTCACACGACAGAAGTCTGAAGTGAAGCATGTGGGACGTGTTGTAGGAAAGGATTGCCAAAATCACAGCACACCTTGTTTTTCATTTTACAGTTTCTGATCTATGAGGCGATGAAGTGAAAAGCCCGTCCTCATAAAACCTCACAGCAACGAACAGCTCAAAGACAAATGATGCTCAACGGATAACGATTGTGATCCGAGTGTGAACACAAGGAGCTGAAGTTGGTTCCTTCCAGCTGTTCAGAACTCTTCTCTGAGTGTTTAAGGCAGCAGCAGGATCACAAGAGAGCCCAGAGAGGATCGGTCCGGACCAGGACTTCATCACAAAACCTGCATGTCTTCACGTTTAGCTTCCAGCTGTTTAGGACGATTTCTTTGTAGTTTATCACAAACCTGCAGCACCGACCAGTGGCAGGATCCTCGAGTCTCCAGAGACAAAGAGCTGCGAGGTTAACGCATCAGCCGTGACTTTAACTATAAATGATTCCAACATGGAGACGGTGAGAATCAACAGCTGTGGGTTCATATTTAGTCACATCCTGAGGTTTAGCCTCACTGTTACAAAACAAACCAGGCTGTTGGTTGTTTGTAGGCTTTAATTAGCTGCTGCTTTATTCTGTTATTGCGTCATACATCACTGGATGTACCGACTGGGTTCGCGTCGCTCTCCGGCACCGTGGGCGGTTTGTGTGAATGCAGCCATGATTAACAAAAAAAAAGTGATTTAAGTATGAAAGAGGCTTGGATGACAGAACGCCGTCCCTTTAACGGGTCGATGAACTCAGCAGCGTTCCCTGTCTGACCGGGGCCTTGGTGTCACCGGGCTCCACCGTCATTCTGGAGTTCTTGCATAATTTTCGTCAACAAACATAATTAACTGAGTCACAACTTTGCAAAAACCTAACGAACCCTCGAGCCTTAAAGCAGCAGAACCACAGAAGTGCTGAGACCTCTGAAGGAACGATGCAGCATCCAGCCTCCATCTAATTACTTTCACTGTGTTGAAATTCAGTGAGTCACTGCTGAGCAGCGCATCAGCCGGCTGCGTGTCTGTCTGCGCGGCTGAATCAACAAATCGCACTGACCCGCGGAGTCGATGGTGGCCGCTAGCTGGCCGTTTTTCTTGGCGGCGACGTATTTCCCATTAGCGGCCCGGAGAGTCAGCCTCTTCCCACGCCACTCGATGTCGAAGTAGCAGTTAGCTGACCTGCAGACAGAGAAGGAGAGCGAGTGAAAGAGATGAGAGGGAGAATTACATTTACATGGCAGTTAAATATCCGGCACAAGTGTCAGGTGTAAACACGTTCAGCTCCGACCGCGCCCAGGTGTTTCTCTACAGGTGAGTAACTGTCAGGTAACCGGAGAGGTCGACTCCAGGAAGATAAACTGGGCTACACGGAGCGGCTCGCTAACTCAGAATGTTGGATTCAACTCTTATCTTTCATCAAAGCAGCTCTGAATCATTCTCAGAAACGTTCTCCAGTTGGCCTTGGAGCTGGAGAAGATTTCTGTGGTCTCATCTGTGAGGAGCAAACTGAGTCAAATGTCAAGAATGCGATGGAGAAATCATTCGAGCTCCCTGCAGGATGTTGCGCAGTTCGACCCCACCGCATCGAGGGCTATCTCTGCTCTGTTATGTTTAAAAAACGGAGGCTGGTCTGGCCCCGAGTTAACACAGAACACATGCTGCTCCCATTAATCTGACGCTGGAGTAGATTATTGTCGCTGTGTCGCTCCTGCACATGTGCAGCTTCTACGGAGCGCCACACGTCTGTACATTAAAAGGTCGTCACAGTAACGGATGTAGTTCTCTACTAAGTGCTCCAGGATGACGAGGGAAAGTTTCTGCTCCTGGATCCGTCTGAGGAGGAATTCAGGAGCCCAGGGTCGGAGGTCGGAGGTCAACAGCGAGCTCTCGGCTTCAACAGCACATAAAAGAAAATCCCTCTGTTCACCACACACACCTCCAGTTACCAGACAAGACTAAACACGACGAGCCGCGACGGACCGGCTTCAGGTTTCCCGTCATCACACGCCTCCCCTGACAGGTCGGCGGGCGGACGGGCCGGAGCAGCTGGGATCGTGGCGGTTCTTACTTGGTGGAGGCGGTGCACTGCAGGCCGCCGTTAGCAGTGAGGGTCCAGTATTTCCCAGCGGCTGTCCGGAACGCACACTTCCTGTTTTCACGGCAAATCTCCACCTGGAAGACCTCCTGGTCGCCTTCCTCGTCCTGGTTGGCCGACAGGTCCATGCCTGGGTGGAGCGAGAGGGGAAGAGGCGGGGTTAGACAGAATACAGGCTAGTGGGTCGGCCACAGAGGACCGGCGTCGGCGTCCTTCGGTCGAGATCAGACGCGCTAAATGAGCAACATGGAGGAGATTAGTGAAGGATTTCACACACATCTGTCCAGACAGAGGCCGCCCTGCTCCGGATTAGCCGTCGCTACGGTCGGTCACACAACAGAGGAAACGGACCAATCTGATCAATTTAATCTTAATCTGCGAAAATTTTGGTTAATTCCACGAAACTCTGATTGGTCGGAGAATCGGCCTCCTGAGATTAACTCGTTATTTATGGCAGCAGCAGAGGATCTTTAAATGGTGGCCGTTGGGTCGACTTTTACTCAGAACCAACCAACACCAGGTCAAAGAAGTCGTATTTGAACAAGCTGAGCAGCCAACGTGCTCCATAACGTAAAACTGAATGCTCGCTATCGTGAACATTCCTGGTGCTGATTCGAGTCCATTCACTCCGCCGTCTGTGTAACATCAGACCTCATTAAAATCACGCCACAGACTTTAAAAGGGACGCAAACAAATATGAGTCGGCTGTGGGATGAACACACACAACAGGCTCGCTTCATGCAGCACAATGGCCGCTATTGTGCTGCATGAAGTTATGGGATGGACCGACCTATAGCCGGAGGGAGGGAGGGAGCGTCTGCTGTGTAAATGTGTGAAGAGAGGGAACCACGGAAACAGAAAGAAAGATGTGTTTGAGACAACAGACCGGTCCGATCCGTCTCCCTTCCGCTACAGATCCAACAGCAGAACCTGACTGATGTGTTTGTTCACGTCCAGAACCAATAACCAATAATCAAGAAGACTGACGATTTGGAACTAAGTGATGATCTGATTCTGTGATCTCTTTAAGTCACTTCTTAAAACACACGTTTTATAGCTTCCTGCTCTTTTTGTGTGTGTTCTACTTTCATCAGTTGCTTGTTGTGTTTTCATTTTTAATGTATTTTGATTGAAAAGCACTTTATGACATTTGTTTTGAAAAGTTCTCTATAAATGAAGTTTATTATTATTATTAACTTAAACAGAAATCTTTGTCCAAATGCCTTTTTCCTGCTGTTTTTCAGATTTTTCGACATTATTTCTCTTTGATCAGGACCAGTCACTCAGCGCTGTGGGCAGGATGATAAATCACAGGTAGACGTAGGCGGCTGCAGCAGAGCCAAAGTCTCCTAAATTTTAATTGAATCCATTTAAATTTGCATGAAACACAACAACAGATCACCAGTAGAGTAAAACTAACCCGTCTCACAACAACAGATTTAATCCATTTACATTTATTTCACCTGGATTCAGATTTAAAAAGAGAAATACTGCAGACAATCTGTTGTGATAATTGGCTAAAAGTCAGCACATATGCAAATATAATATCAGCTTATGTATACTAATATTGCATTTTTATTGCCTAAAAAGACATACAGGCATCTGCCCTGAACAATCCAGTACCAGACAAGTTCTGATGTGATTCTAGTCCGACACCACAGAGCGACTCTAGAATGAGGTCATAGCTGGTTCTGTCCACATTCAGCACAAGAAAGAAAACACACATTAGTCCTCTCGCCTGCAAAAGTCAGCCTGCACGGGGATTGAGTTTCTGCAGAAATATGTGTGGATACACACACACACACACACACACACACACACACACACGAGTGGAAGGAAAATATCAGCGACCATAATGGGAACCACATGGTGGTGGAGGAGGAGGAGGAGGAGGAGGAAGAGGAGGAGGGTACACAGAAGATGAAATGTTGAAATGTAAGTTCAGCTGTGACGGACGAGGAGGAAGCTTTCAGAGGAGGACATGTGGAGGAGAAAAGGGCTGAAGGCTGCTCAGGCCTCTGCTGTGATCCTCACTGCTTCCTGTTCAGTCAGGCGTCGCACAGTAGCGCCGCCGAGTCGACGTACGGCTGCAGCCGTCTGGAGGTGAGCAAACCTGCAGCGGCCAAACGGACTCATTGAAGGTTGTTCGAATCGAAATATATTAAAAAGGTTCCAACTGTAGATTATTACTTTAAAGGTCTAATAATAAACAGAGCAAAGTTTGTAATATCTTAAAGAACTTTCATTACTCAACCCGAGAATCAACCTCCTCATGTTGTCATCAGAGAATAAACTCGTCCTCTGAATGTGGAACGATTCACTTCTTTAGAAAACCACAGATCAATCATTAAAAATAGAGCAAAACCAACAGTTCTGCTGAGAGACCCGATGCATTTATAGATGCTCAATTTGAAAGAGCTGCTTCCTATTAGCCTCCAGTAAGATCGACAAGACTTGGTTTCTTCATTTCTCTGTGTTCAGACTCTTGGTTCAACAGTTTCATCTCAGATGCATTAAAAAACAAATCACACACAAAAAGCTCCATATGTGTTAAACTTGTCTTCCTGGCACCGCTAGTTTCTCCCACAGGACACAACATGAGCTTCACTACATGGAGATGAAGCACAACACTCTGCCACGCTCTGACATGAACAACTGCTTCAACACAGATCATTTCATTTAAAAACTTCAACTCAGTCCAGGAGGAGGCAACATGTTTGGTTGTGGGTCTGCTGTAGGAGGACTCCTGCCTTCATCTTTCCACACACACACATCAAAGCTGGTCAGAAGTTATCAGAACAGAGAAACATTAGTAGATGCACACAGAGCGTGAAAACACAAGACGAAGCACCCTGAGGCAGAAAGAGGCTCCGTGTTGGTTCGACCAGATGATCGGTCTGTGAAGCTCACGGGGTCGTGGAAGGAGGAAGGCAGGTCTGCAATCAGGCAGCACAACAACCACAACAAAGGAGCTGAGCAGAACCCTCCCAAACCACACCAAACACACGCTGGTGGGCTAGAACACAACCCGTCTATCTGTCCGTCCACTCCACCCACCGCATTCAGGCCCGATGGCACAGATTTGTGGACCGCGAGCCGGCACTGAGGCCCTGCTGTGAACGCACGCGATTGTTTGGTGCGTGCGTTTGTGTGTCTCCTATTGTTCGGCCGGCCCGACCGGGGAGGCAACCAGCTGGGGCGCAAACAGGGAGCCAGATCACCGGCTTTTGTTCTGACCCAAACAGGCACACACAGTGCAGCAGGGCCGGCCAGGGCCTGAGCACGGCGCCGACGGAAACATCGCCGCTCTCGATGCGCAAAAACAGGTCAGACATGCAGGAAACAGCACCGGACCAGGGGATGGCCCAAATCTTTTTGCTAAAATCGATTGTAAACTCCAGTGAGTGCTCAGTGTGCTGCTGAAGCACTGAGAGCCGCTCTAATGGCCTGATGTGGAGACAGAGCAGGACGACACGCCGGAGACCAGCTCCAGTCGAACCCACCATAAAACAGACCAACACTGAGGAGGAGAGGTTCCTGTGCAGCCGGCCAGCGAGAGGCAGCTCGTCTGGCATCCTCCCAACACACAAACACAGTCTGAAAACCAACAAACACACACGAGGTCTCATAAACACACTGAAGCTCCGACGAGCTCCGTCACAGGATCACCAAGGACGCACCACCGTGTTGCTCCTTCTGTTTTCTTTCCTTTGGCCGACTGTGTTGACTCGCTGCAGACGGATGGAGAACACGGTCAGCCTTCACCCTACAGGCATCATCACCACCGGTCACGGCCGGCCTCAGCGCCTCGTGTCTCATTTCCTGCTGGTGGGGGGCTGAAGGGGACGGCGAGGGGGGTCAAGGTTGACTCACGGCCAGACGCAACATGGAGCCACGGTTTCTGTGTCCAACCTTCAACCAGACGCTGCACGGCTTAACGCCTGACTGGAGCTCTGGCTTTAAATCATTTTATTTGCACTGGAGTCTGTAAAAAACGACCACCATCACCACCACCACCACCACCACCACTACCATACAACAGGCCTGAGCTTCAACCCAGTCTCCTAGAAACTACATCTTTATGAAACTAAAGCACATTTTCAGTTACCAGACCACATTTATTAAACACATTTAAGCCCTGTATCTATCTTATTGCTCTACACTCGCTCCTCTTCATCAGACCCATCACATATTAGATGTCATCACCATGGTAACCTGGAAAATGGAGGAGAAGCTTCAAATGTGTTGAGCAATGGTGTGATTTTAACCTAAACCTGACCAATGGTGTCCAAACCATCTGTCCTCTCCTGCTTATGTGGACCACAGCTGAGAAAATGAGACCTTGCATTCCTCTCAAAAGCTAATTGCAGTTCAGTTGTGTGGAGATGGAATTGTTGGGAGACATGGTTGCCATGACAACCGCAGTAAATACAAAGCTTTAGCCTGCAGAGTGTTAGCTTAGCCTACCATCTAGCCTGGCTCCCCTGTGGTTTAAACTAACTATAGTCATATTTCCATGTAGCTGTCAAGCAACATTGCTAATGCTAATTCGACTCGTTTCCTTGCTTTGAAGCCAACAAGCTAGGCTGCGTCGTGTCCTCAGAAGGCGGCGCTATATGTTTGGTTACACATGGCTGCAATAAACCTAAAAAGAAAAAAACAACAACCAACAAACAAAACTTAAACTGTTTTCAGTCGGGAAAGTGCCGATGATTCCTCACGTCAGCTGATTCTAGCCTTGATTCAAGCCGTCCAGACGACAACGACAACAAAAGAAGCTAAAACTGCTGAGCTCATCGTTTGCTACGTCAGGAACTCCCGTTACGTTCATCAACTCTGTTGGAAAAAGTCAAAAACCAACTCCAGCGAGCGAATGTTGCTGAACTTTTTCTAATGCGATGCTTTTAAACGTGCATGAAAAGACTTGCTGGAAACAGCTTACGTCTGGTAAAAGCCTCCATTATGCTGCCTTGCGGACACACATGGACGGCTGCCGACACCATGGACACATAATTGCTCCTATTACTCTACTTCTCTGGTCTCCTTGGAAGGTTTCCATCGGAGCGTCGTCACCATGCAGACTGAGGTTCTGGGCGGACGGGTCCTTGTGAACTTTCGTGGACTTGGGAA